TCACCTTATCTTTTATTAAAGCATTTTTTTATATAAACACACGTTTGAAACGAATAAAAACAAGCAAAAAATAAGTTTAATAAACAAGATGGCCCAAAACACTGTTGCACCAGTAGATTTTTCTGGTGGAAAATATCCAGTAACGGCTGCACAAGGATGGTCAGCTCCTTTAGATTCTGCTTCACAGTCACATGTGAATGTATCAACATCAAATGATGATAAAAACTTGCCAAATTATAGTGAAGGTCCACCACCATCTGCACCTGATATAAGTGACTTTCCACCCAATTATTTTGATATATCGATTGTACCTAACAATGGTGTTTTGCATTATAATGAAGTCCCAGCATATACTGAACCATCTAAAGCAGAAGTTGAACGTAAAAGTGAAGGTGTTCTTTCATTTGATCCACTTATTGAGAAAAATCCTGATCAATTATGGTTGTATTTTATGACTTATCTTAATGAAAAACCAGCTTTAGGTATTGTTATTCATGGTTATCATACTGAGGTATAGTATAAATCTATTTAGGAGATTTCTATAAACTTATTATATGTATATATAGCATTATACAACATATGAAACACGTCGCTCAGCTGATGGCCATACACACACACATCCTGTACATCATACTCGTAATGTAACTGATTTTAATTTTACTATTGATGCAACGCAATATATATCACAACAATGGTGGCGTGTAGCTGTTATTCCATCAAAAAAAGCAATGAAAGCTGGTGAATTTGTTTCATTGAGAGATGCTGTTGAACAATATACACGTTCAGAAAAAAATATCAAAGAAATTACATGCCAAAAACAATTAGTTGGCTGGAATTATCAAGAATTACAAGATAAAATAAAAGCATTGATTTATTCAACTGGTTATCGAAGTCATATTAATGTTGTAAGTTATTATTGAAAATAAAATATTTCATTGTTTATGTAAATATTCATTTTCCTAGACTTTTTCTGTGAATAACAATAAAATAGCGGCTCGTTCATCATCAAAAATGAGTCGATTTTCAAGTTCACTAGTTGTTCGTATTTTATGTGTGGTGTCATGTTTATTTCTTATCTTTGGTCCAATTTATTTATGTTTACGTTCAGCAGGCTCTACTCGAGATCGAATTGTAGCAGATTATTCTATGGTAGCACCAGTTGATACTTTTCTGCATTTCAATAGTGCAGTTATTGCTAATGCAGCTATGGGTCGTTCAAGAGAATTTTATCCTTCTTATCTTGCTTAATTTTCTCTATTAAAGTATTTTGTTATTTTGTCTTGAACATTATTTTTCGTATAAGAAGTGTATTTGATCTAAATAAATGAATGTCATCTTAAATTATGTGATCATTTCATGAATTAATTATAGTAGATGATTAGCTATATTATATAGTCTACTAAATAATACGTAGAGATAGGTGTGGATGAAGAAGAGACACACACACCCTGAAGATTATTATGATAATATACCTGTAGGTGAACTATCATTAGACACTTCAGTTGCTTGTATGATTTCTTTCTGATGGTAATCTTCACCTTTAACTTCACATAAATCTTGTTTATCTTATTTTAATATATATATTAATATTTTTTTTCAATAATTATTTATTTTTCAATGGTTTTTCTCATTCGAATATTATTAACATGAGAATAAATGTATATCAATACAAAATAAAATTTTAGTCATGCATCTTCATTTAATTATCATTTCGAAAGTCACACTCTTTGAAAACTCTGGAAGTTTCGATTATCTGAGAAGAAAGATTACCTGATGTTGTACTAGTTTTTTCTTTATTTTTGTTATTTGGTCAATTGAACATGGAAATAATACTTTCAATGACGATAACTACCGATGTGCAAATAGTGATATCATAAAGTACTAGTGTACACATAAACTAATGACAGTTTCTTATAAATCAATAGAGTCTCATAGAAAGTGATGTAAACTTTGGGGATGGAAATTAAAAAAAACCCAGAAACAACGCCCTAGGAAGCATTAAAGGTAGAAAAATAATTAATCATCATGTTTCGAGTTATGACTTATTAAAATTATCGTTTATCAATGCAGTCGTCCACTTCCTCAAAAATGACAAAATTACGTACATCATTACTTTAGTATGTAGTCATGCAGTTCCCTAAAAATGACAACATCATGTACATCATTACCTTGGTATGCATGATTTGAGCGGAACAAGAGAACGAAAAAATATCAGTTAAATCATAAATATGATAAGAAAACATATAAGCAGCAAACGAGTATAAATACTCAAGTGATATTGCAAATAGTACTGTAGAAAAAGAGAAAAAAACGGATAAACAAAGTGTGACGATAACATATTATAGTTATTCAATTGTTCAAAAATCAACAACGATCCTCTTGTAAAGCTCTGGTATACACGTATAATTACATAGTATTATTCTTAGAACACTGTCAATATGGGAAACTCTAGAGACTATCTTGGTCGTCTTATTTTAATTATCAGTACCATCATTTTATCGATTACTCCTGGATATTTGTCAGCACAAGTCAATGCCGGCATGGCTATCAATCTCAACAGTAATATAAAGATCTATCAGTTGTACGGGTACTATTTTGAACTTTGATTGCTTTTTTTTTAGGTGGAACAATGATACAGACGGCATTTAGTGTTGATTTAACAAACATCGACATTACTCAAATCACCAGCTA